GATTTGCGCATTTATGTTCTCATCAGATTCATTTAAGCTATTTTCAGATGTCAGTTTTTTACTTCTGTAAGTTTGATAGCCCAAAGTAATACTCGTAATTTACCTTGATTACTGAAATGTTAGAATAACTATCAGCTTAATCATGTTCTGTAATATCTACATGAGAGGGAATCCACATCAGTTGTTTATAATCACTTTAGCCTAACAGGCTTCCTATCTGAAAATGGTATACCAGCCTCCATACTCTCTCTCAGGTATCAGCTGCGCAAGACTAACGCAGCAACGGTACTGAGATTAAGTGCCATTGGTGCTACACACTGGTATAGGAGAAAGGTGCACAATGAACTGCCAGCAGCTGCTGTGTAACTCCAGTTGTTGTCGCAGGCCGCTGGAGCACCTGGCCTGGGTCACCGTCTGCTCCCACATCTTCTGCGACACCCACGGAACACCTCTCGCTCAGGTCAGTCCTCGCGCTTCTCTTGCTGCAGTTTTAGTTTAGTTCATTTATTATGCACCCCATACCCATCTTGTGGGCGGTAGTGGAAAGGGTTACAGAGGCACATAATGGGCTCAGGGACTGAACCCACAGTGAAGTGGTTTCTTGACATTCGCCGCAAATATTTCTACCAGGCAAGTATTTCGTTGTAGTATTTATAATATCAAATATTACAACGAGTGATAGGACAGTTCTGCTTTGAGAGAGGGAAAGAGAGATCAATTAAGGTGTAAGATGATTTTCGCAGTGCATTTATGAAATCAGGTCACGAGTAACTCACAAACACTGTTGGGAGAGAGGAAAACTTGAGAAAGGATGATGAGAGAGGGAAGAATGAAGAAGCGGGTAAGGAAGTGGGAAGAATGGATAAAGGGATAAGGAAGAGGGAAGAATGAAGAAACGGGTAAGAAAGAGGAAAGAATGAAGAAACGGGTAAGGAAGAGGGAAGAGAAGAATAAAATAGAGGTGGGGAGAAAAGAAGGGAAAAAGCAAGACTAGAAGGGAGTGGCAAGAAAAATGGGGAATTTACCTGGGGAAGAACTAGAGGTAAAGGAACATACATTGAAAATGAGTTACAAACATAATGTTGAACTAATAGATAGAATTAGTACATACAATGCCTGAAACCACTAATACGCAAGCGTTTTGAGCATGGTGTGGGAAAAAATTAGACTAAAACTTAATCCTAATTGAGATCAAAAGCATAAATTGAATTTAACAAAAAGGCAAAAAAGACAGAGTGATGATAATTACATGATGGAGTAAACAGCAAAAAATGTAACAGAACAACAGAAGGAATTTTAACTAAATAAACAGAAGATTACAACTTTCTTTAAGATTATACATGGCAGATATCAGCAGTTAAACATGTTGGTCAATAATCAATAATGTTTGAAAATAGCAAGACATAGGTTGACATTTAGGAGGTAAGGTATGTTACATGGAGTTTATTAGGTAGTACTTTATTGTTCTCTTAAGTTGGTTGAGAGAGGTACAGCCTTTGGCATGATTGGGAAGGTCATTCCACATTCTGGGTCACTTGATTTGCAGAACATTTCTAATTTGGTCAAGTCGCACTCTTGGAATATCAAAGAGGTATTTGTTTCTAGTTTGGTGCCCATGGGTTCTATTACAACATTCTAGGAAGCGTATAAGGCCAGGATTGGCATTACAGTTCAGAGTTATATATATATATATATATATATATATATATATATATATATATATATATATATATATATATATATATATATATATATATATATATATATATTGCATATTCACTAATCTAGTCAATATTATTATTATATTTGCTTATTATTTTCCGGACTTCAACGCTTCGCTGATCATTTATAAGTGAGCACATGTATGTGTTCACGCCATCCTTAAAAGATCTTGTGGAATGAGCTGCTCTTTATATTCCTTACAGATCCCAACCGTGTGTTCAGCATGTGGGGCCAAACTCGTGGATAAAACTGATGTTCATAGGGTGAACTTGGATCCTTCTGAACAGTTCAAAAGTGTAAGTTATTGCGAAGACAAAACAAAGTACGAGTGGTGTATGTAGAATGTTGTTGTTGTTGTTATAGATTCAGCTACTGGGAACAAAAAGTTCCAAGTAGCATAGGCTATGGAGAGCCCGTTGTGGACTTGCCTGGCACAGGAGCGGAGCTGTAACTTTTGATGTAGAATGATGTCATATTGGTATATGTATTTGCAGTGTCTGTTTTTTTTAATTTACTGTAAACATGTATTTAAGAACTTTCTTAGAACTCATATTTATTTTAATTGAAATAGTAACCCGACTATTTATAAAACAAAATTAGTGGGAATTTAACATTTTTTATATTGTTTTACAAAACTTCTTTATATACTCTCGTGTTCTTGAGGATATCCTCATAATGCACCCAAAATTTGCCAGTGCAGGCTACTGAACATATGGCCCTGTATGACTAACCATCCTGCGAGATGGGGACCTTCAGTATCACTACTGCCTTACTCACTCTTGTGTTGATGATATCCTCATAATGCACCCAGAGTCTGCCAGTGGACACTACTGATCACATGCTTCTGTATGACTAACCATCCTGCGAGATGGGGACTTTTAGTACCATTACTGCCTTATTTACTCTTGTGTTGATGATGATATCCTCATAATGCACCCAGAGTCTGTCAGTGGAGACTACTGATCACATGCCTCTGTATGACTAACCATCCTGCGAGATGGAGATTTTTAGCATCACGGAGCTAGTTTTTTGACACGCTGTACTCCCCTTCATATAGTCTAGAGCAGCTGCACAAATGCACATGTACCTAAATGTGTTAATAAACACAAAATCAGCCTTCAATGCTGTTGATACGTTTAAATCTAGTGGCAATCGAATACCACTAGCACACCTGGCCTAGAACTAGCAATGCTTAGGTTGGCCTGTTTATGAATGAGTTTAGTTGGATATAAATAGGAGCTGCCTTGCATAATTCAACAGTCCTATAGTGTCCTCTATCCTTATGTTCTTAGGAGTTTTAGTCATGGTGGCTGTTTCCTGCTTCAGATGATATTGGCTGGCCTGAGACCTGCCACTGTCATGGAAGTGTGTCATCGTGCTCTCGCCTTCTGGACCTACCAGGTTAGTTATTCTTCAAACTTACCCTTACATTAAGTCAATCTTGAAATCTCACTTCGAGTAAATTCATAACCACAACGTTCATCATGCAGAGAAGTTTGGTTTTCTTCCAATTTTAACAGAGGTAACATTTAGTATGAGACGGGGGAGAGTAAGCACATAACGGTCAGTAGTGTTGAATGTTGTGGGGAATTTTGCAGATGAAACAGGAGCAGACCTACCAGAGGCAGGTCACCAGGAGGCTGAGGGAGAGGCTGTACCAGGTGCAGGCATACTACGAGCAGCAGCTGCGCACCCGGGATGACCAGCTGCTCTGTGTTAGGCGACAGCTTCAGGGTAAGTGAAGGTGCGCACATACACACACACACACACACACACACACACACACACACACACACACACACACACACACACACACACACACACACACACAGGGGTATAGCGGGGGTCTGGTAGCTAAGTGGACAGCGCGGATGACTCGTAGTTCTGTTGCCCGGGTTCAATTCCCGGACCAGGAATGCCCCTGTTACCTAGCAGTAAGTAGGTACCTGGGAGTTAGACAGCTGTTACGGAGCTGCTTCCTGTGTACACACACACACTCACACACACGGAGATGGGGGCTGTGACTGAGTGGACAGCACTTGGGGCTCGTAATCCTAGGGTCTGGGTTCAATCCCGGCGATGGCGGGAAATAAATGGGCAGAATTTCTTTCACCCTTTCACATAATGGGCTCAGGGACTGAACCCAAAAATTCATTTAGCTAAGGAACTTAGTCGTAATGAGCTAGTTACAAAATTTGATGTATATTGTAACATCAACAATGGGTTCGAGACTGACCACAAATACAGTTAAACCTTCTCAATTAAACCACTGACATGTATGGAGAGCTAGTGTCATATCTTGAGGTTATCGTGAGATGATTTCGGGGCTTTAGTGTCCCCGCGGCCCGGTCCTCGACCAGGCCTCCACCCCCAGGAAGCAGCCCGTGACAGCTGACTAACACCCTGGTACCTATTTTACTGCTAGGTAACAGTGGCATAGGTTGACAGAAACTCTGCTCATTGTTTCTCCCCGGCGCCCGTGATCGAACCCGGGACCACAGGATCACAAGTCCAGTGTGCTGTCTGCTCGGCCGACCGGCTCCCGTCGGTCGGGAGCCGACATAATTGATATGTTTATCACATAATTGATATGTTAATCCCGCACACCGCCCTCAGTCCAGTGGGCAGCTGCGGAAAGGTTACAATGACCCACACTTACTACCTACAGTTAACAAACTGGGGGATATTTGTCTAAAATTTCTGGTAGTAGATAATTTTGTATAAAATATTTACATATTTCTTGAACATCTGTTACTGAATAATCTCTGAATTCACGTATCTTTTCGCACTGTATCACATAGTGACGGAGGGTGTTTCAATGCAATAAGGCAAATAGTTCGGTCGGAAGGGTAGAGGCCCAATTGTTTATACGGACTCCCCACTCAAAATATAAGCCATCGGCCATTGTCAGGACAACTGCACTTCCAGCCGCACCCGTGGGCCGGTGAAGGGAACCATCACTACATATGGCTTGAGAGAGAATATGTGGACAGTGTTATAGCTCTTAACGTGGAACAAACAAAATCACAATATTTTTATGCCTATTGTATCCTTGTCGTTGCAGAGGTGCACAAGGAGCAAGACAAGTGCAACAAGGTAAGAGAAACCCTCAAAGAACGGCTTACAGATAAAAGTTTACAATACACAAAGATGCAAGTAAGTATAAGCTCAACAGTGGCATCACATAGTATTATCGTGCTCCATGTCAAATTCAAATGTCCAGTTCTTTAATTACTTATTTTCAAAATTTATATATACTTGTGTGTCTATTTCTGTATATTTACTAAATGCAACTATCTTGGAACAGTGACATAATCTACATAAAAATTCACGCTGTTACTTCCGTATGGCAAAACCTAGAATACATTATTAATGACAAGACATCAAGAAATAATATTATTCAAATTAACAAGGTGCTAACAAACTAAAACATCTTAAGAATTGGGATATATGACAAGCAGGAGCTGTATGACGACCTGGTGAAGAGAGGAGGGAGGTGGTCGCCGCTGCCTGGAACCCGCGCTGACACCACCTCCAGCCATGTGCTGGGCTCCTCTCACCCAGCTTCGCACTCTTATCACCAGCCTCAGTCCCAGCTGGCTCTCACTTCTGGGCATGATGGCCCATCTCCCCACCTCTGCAGCCTCCAGAATCCTCGCCTGCGTCAGGTAGGTTTATCGTAAACATACATAATAACAGTAATTGTGAATAAATACAAAATATAATAATTTAATTAATAATCACCATTATTCTGGTCAGCGGTACCAAGAGGAGGAGGAGGAGAGAGCGTCCACAAGCACTGCATCGCGACCCCAGGCACCTACATCCCCTCGGCATCCACATCACCGACAGCAGGAGCACCAAGTAACCCAGGAGGTCTCCGGAATACACGGTAATAGTGCGTCAAGGGTACACCAGGAACCCGCACTCTCTAACAGAAGAGTAGGACCGTATCAGCTCCGGTCTAGACGAAGTCCTTTGAAGAGTATCCAGCCACAACTGTCAAGGAACACGAGTGAAGGTCAGTCAGTAGTCTGAGTGGTTCTGTAGTGGACTGACAGATTATAACTAATTAATGTTATCTTCATATGAAAGGTAAGGTGGGAGAATGTCATCATAGTGTGTGTTACAAGGTTAGTTTAGTTCATTTATTATGCACCCCATACCCATCTTGTGGGCAGTAGTGGAAAGGGTTACAGAGGCACATAATGGGCTCAGGGACTGAACCCTACAATTCGTTTAGCTAAGTAAGTTACAATCTTGATGAGCTAGTTACAAAATTCAGTATAAGTCGTCACATCAACAATGGGTTCGAGATCGATCACAAGTACAGTTTCTAAATTAAGCAACTGACATATGTGGAGAGCTAGTGTCACAATTGATATGTTTGTCCTGCACACCGCCTCCCATCCAGTGGGCAGCGGTGGATAGGTTACAATCACTTAGTTACTACCTACAGTTAGCAAACGGGATATTTGGCTAAAATTTATGGTAGCAGATCATTTTGAATGAAATATTTACACATCATTGGAACATTGGTAATAGAATTGTCTGTGAATTCACGTATCTTTTCGCACTCCATCACATAGTGACGGAGAGTGTGCTAATAATTTTGTTGACACAGTTTACATTTGGTCAGGTCTACATCGGTAGATAATGAGAATTCCCAGAGATACTTGTAACCGAGTCTAAGCTGAGTAGAAGTAAGATCTAGAAGTCTGCTGATTTTATTGGATGAACCATAGATGTGTGGCTCCTCTTGCATGATAGTATGATGATAGATGGAATTACTAGTGTCGATTTCACTTTGCCTCAGATCTACAAGATCTTGTTGAAGTTCTCGGTGTACTGCTGCTCTCAGACTGCTCATTGACAATCCAAGGTTACACGTTACAAGGTTTACGTATTTCTCCATGTTAATGCGCCTTGCGCAAGCACCTTAATTGCCTTCGCTTATTGTCAGTACACGCATGCAGCCGCCAGTATCTTATTCTTATGGTGTCATGTTACTCAGTTACTCTTCGCTGTGCTCCTCCAGAGTGCTCGGGCCAAGTGTCTACCTTATGTTGGTAGTCTAGGATGTCTGTTGAATACACTGCCTGGCCCATGCCACTCACAGGATGAGTAATGTGTGTACAATAAAGTAGCCACCTCCGGCGGCAACATTCAAATCTTCCGTTGGGAGCCGACGACTTGGGACCACTGCACCATAGGGCCCTGTGACCGTGTTTATTGATCAACTGATCTTGTGCACTGAGCAGTAAACCTACTCATACCTTGAAAACTGATCACTTGACCTGTTTTGACTGTTTAGTGATTATGTTACCTAACCTGTCCTTATTGCTTGATCAATTGACCCTAGATGACCTCCTTTGTTTCCCCCTTGTTCCAGAATTCAGCTTCAATCCCGCTATATTTTCTTGTCGAGGTCATGCCGAAAATGAGGACCAAAATGGAACCGATCACCCTGCTCCAGTCTAAGATTCACCACTGAACAGTCATGATCGAGGTCGTCGTAATCAGCATCACCAGCCAGTTAGCTTCATCCCCAGCCAGTCACTTATCACCACTTACATGGTTACTGCTGTCACCAGTTACAAGGTTACTGCTATCACCAGTTACAAGGTTACCCTTAGCTCGAGTCACCCGATAAAGCTTATCGTGAACTAAGGATGGTATTGCCATCAGTCATGAAGCAACCCGGTCTCAGACCAAGTCCATTCCATCCAGCGGTCGACTCCAAAGACGCATTCATAAATTTTAACATGCTGTTCATTCAAAACAGGAATTTTCTCAAATATAAATTTATATTATTTTATATTACCATATTGTACATATTTAGGAATTGGTTAGGTTAGGTGTTTAGTTTCTGTTGACGATTATTTGTATGTGTAGTACGTGGGTGAAGCATTTACAGCGTTGTGGTTCGAACAAAAGTCGTCAGCGAAGCACTTGTTCCGGAAGTGTTCGAACGTTATCAGTTGTGAGTCGTGTGTAAACCGTTTTTCATTCAAACAGGGGGTTTGGCCGGTGCATGGAATGGTCTTGGGATCTTTGTTTAGAGGACGGGCTGCAAGAAGACAATTGATCTATCAGTCCTGCTGCCCGACCCTTGTAAATGATCTCGTTGAGCAATTGTAATCCTTGTAATCTTTGTAATTCTTGTAATGCTGAGATTGTTTCACAATTCTTTCAAAAATCCTTTCAATCTAAAATCCTTTCACGATTGAGTCTCTTGCACAATTAATACTCTTGCACATTTGATACTCTTTCACTATTGAGTTCCTTGCATAAATGAGGTCATTTGTATTTACCGCTGTGATTCTTGTGAAATTGAGATCTTGGTACTTTCTTGTGCCATTGAGATCCTTGTACATTCTTATACAATTGATATCCCTGTGCATTAGTGTACAATTGGGATCCTTGTACATTGTTGTACAGTTGAGATCTTTGTACATTCTTGCACAATTGGGATCCTTGTACAATTGTGATTATTTAGGAATTATTCATGTTTATGTCTTTTGTTAGGTTCGATATATGTTATAAAAAGTGTAAATACCTAATAGCTTTCCTCCGGAAAAATAAAAATATACAACAATACATAACAACATAACAATGTATTATAATCCTCGATTAATATTATCCTATGTTAACTCTAGTAATAGGCTAGTTAAATAATATTTACAGTTCTTTTCCAATCACGCGTCCCTGAGCCCATTATGTGCCTCTCTAACCCTTTCCACTATGGCCCACAGGATGGGTATGGGGTGCATAATAAATGAACTAAATTAACGTGGCACAGTGCCACTTTCTCTTCTGGCAGAATCTCCACAACTACCACATTCCTTTTTCTCCATTAGATTTAATATTTTTTTTTTAATAAACCTCCTTTACCACAGTAGTCTTCGTCATAAACTTACAATCTATGGACCCGGGTTCAATCCCAAGTGTTAAGTTCCGGGAAGAAGGAACTTAACACTAGTCTAAGAAATAGCCTAAGCTACTCTATTCCTTTGAGATGTATTTTTTTTCTTGTCTCAATAAACTTACTTGAACTTTAAGGAAACACATGTCGGGTCAGCATGGCTTTATTGTGAACGCAAACACTTTCACCTGGTGTTACGGCCCTCTCGGGTCGCAACTGGGTTCTTACTCTGTTGTTGTTAGAGGAAGGGTATCCGGCCCCAAGCCAGTAGTGGCTTTCAAGGGATGTGATCCGTAACGCAAGTAAATTAAAAGGGGAAGGGAAATAAAGTAAAAAACTTAATATAATATAATGATCACCGTCACCAATAAATATATATAAAGGATTACACGGGGGGGGGGGGGGGTATAAACACTATAATACACTGTCGTCTTCTGAAGACCCTGGATCCTCTCGGTGCTCTCGTGGCCTCACGACGAATCCTTCGAGAAGCTGAGTCTACCCCGGCCACAGGTCAGCCAAAACACTGTTCCACTGGGGCACCGCCGTGGAGGCTGTCAACCACAAGTCCAGCAGATGGCTGGCAGGTTCCGAATCAGCAACGCTGGTTAGGCCACTCCACAGGCCACTGTGGTATCTGTGATACCACAGATCACTCTCCTTTCCGCAATACCCCAGTGGTTAAGCGTCTCCACCAGCCAGTCCCGGGTATGACAATCCTTCAACTGCCGCTTCACAGGCAGGGTAACACCACAGTGTTCATCCGGGAGGCGATTCACAGCTGCTGCAGCAAAACACTTGGTGTCGAGACGGCTGCCTCGGGTAGACTGACTCAACTTCCCTTACAGCAGTCCCAGGTCGACTCTGTAAGCAGACACGTCATCAATAATAGAGACACACTAGGACATGTCACTTACCGGCTCAGACCCAAACGCCCACCTATTCACTCCATAGATGGCGTTACTGTCTGAGCTTCACCTCACTAGAGGTCAGCAGCGGCTGTGTTGTGAGCTGAACAGGACTGGAAACTGGCCCTGGTGGCCAGTACACCTCGTCCTCACCAGGTGTCGTCGTCCATTTGGAGGGGGTTTCGGGAGCTGACCCACAGATGGCGTGGTCGTCACTGCTCCAGGCTCGGACGCTGGATTCGGGTCCGTAACACCTGGGTGTCAGGAAAGCTGAGTCGACAGCGCTTCGGATTCGTAGTCCTGAGGTTCCGGGTTCGATCCCCGGTGGAGGCGGAAACAAATGGGCAGAGTTTCTTTCACCTTGATGCACATGTTCACCTAGCAGTAAATAGGTACCTAGGAATTAGCTGCTACTGGCTGCTGCTTCCTGAGGGTATGTAACAAAAAGGAGGCCTGGTCGACGACCGGACCGCGGGGACGCTAAGCCCCGGAAGCACCTCAAGGCAACCTCGCCGTTTTCAGTAATTAGCATATTTTCGGTATAAAAGGTCGTAATTTGAAAATGAAAATAGGTGCAGAGAGTCAGAATTCGGCTCAAAAATCACGCTCAGGAGTCAAATTTCCGACATTTCAGATATTTTGAAAACTGCAGGGGGGTTTGGGCAAAATATGACCCATCGCCGTTTTCAGTAATTGGCATATTTTTGGTATAAAAGGTCGTAATTTGAAAATGAAAATAGGTGCAGAGAGTCAGAATTCGTCTCAAAAATCACGCCCAGGAGTAAAATTTCCGACATTTCAGATGTTTTGTAAACTGCAGGGGGTTTGGGCAAAATATGACCCATCGCCGTTTTCAGTAATTAGCATATTTTCGGTATAAAAGGTCGTAATTTGAAAATGAAAATAGGTGCAGAGAGTCAGAATTCGGCTCAAAAATCACGCTCAGGAGTCAAATTTCCAACATTTCAGATATTTTGAAAACTGCAGGGGGGTTTGGGCAAAATATGACCCATCGCCGTTATCAGTAATTAGTATATTTTCAGTATAAAAGGTCGTAATTTGAAAATGAAAATAGGTGCAGAGATACAGAAATCAGCTCAAAAATCACGCCCAGGAGTCAAATTTCCGACATTTCAGATGTTTTGAAAACTGCACAGGGGTTTGGGCAAAATATGACCCATCGCTGTTTTCAGTAATTGGCATATTTTCGGTATAAAAGGTCGTAATTTGAAAATAGGTGCAGAGAGTCAGAAATCGGCTCAAAAGTCACGCCCAAGAGCCAAATTTCTGACATATCAGATGTTTTGAAAACTGCAGGGGGGTTTGGGCAAAATGCGACCCATCGCCGTTTTCAGTAATTTGCATATTTTCGATATAAAAGGTCGTAATTTGAAAATGAAAATAGGTGCAGAAAGTCAGAATTCGTCTTAAAAATGACATTCAGGAGTCGAATATCCGACATTTCAGATATTTTGAAAACTGAAGGGGGGTTTGGGCAAAATATGACCCATCGCCGTTTTCAGTAATTACCATATTTTGGGTATAAAAGGTCGTAATTTGAAAATGAAAATAGGTGCAGAGAGTCAGAATTCGGCTCAAAAATCCCGCTCAGGAGTCAAATTTCTGACATTTCACATATTTTGAAAACTGCAGGGGGGTTTGGGCAAAATATGACCCATCGCTGTTTTCAGTAATTAGCATATTTTCGGTATAAAAGGTCGTAATTTGAAAATGAAAAAGGTGCAGAGAGTGAGAATTCGGCTAAAAAATCACGCTCAGGAGTCAAATTTTCGACATTTCAGATATTTTGAAAACTGGAAGCGGGTTTGGGCAAAATACGACCCATCGCCGTTTTCAGTAATTAGCATATTTTCGATATAAAAGGTCGTAATTTGAAAATGAAAATAGGCTTAATTATTGGGATCGTCCCAAAGCCCTCCAAGTGTACTCACTAGAAAGAAGACGAGAGAGATATCAAATAATATACACCTGGAAGATACTGGAGGGCCAAGTACCAAATCTACACAGTAAAATAACAACGTACTGGAGTGAACGACATGGAAGAAAATGTAGAATAGAACCAGTGAAGAGCAGAGGTGCCATAGGCACAATCAGAGAACACTGTATAAACATCAGAGGTCCGCGGTTGTTCAACGTCCTCCCAGCAAGCATAAGAAATATTGCCGGAACAACCGTGGACATTTTCAAGAGGAAACTAGATTTATTCCTCCAAGGAGTGCCGGACCAACCGGGCTGTGGTGGGTATGTGGGCCTGCGGGCCGCTCCAAGCAACAGCCTGGTGGACCAAACTCTCACAAGTCGAGCCTGGCCTCGGGCCGGGCTTGGGGAGTAGAAGAACTCCCAGAACCCCATCAACCAGGTATCAACCAGGTATCAACCAGGTGCAGAGAGTCAGAATTCGGCTAAAAATCACGCTCAGGAGTCAAATTTCGGACATTTCAGATATTTTGAAAACTGCAGGGGGGTTTGGACAATATATATCCCATCGCCGTTTTCAGTAATTAGCATATTTTCGGTATAATGGGTCGTAAATTGAATATGAAAATTGGTGCAAAGAGTTAGAATTCGGCTCAAAAATCCCGCTCAGGAGTCAAATTTCCGACATTTCAGATATTTTGAAAACTGCAGGGGGGTTTGGGCAAAATATGACCCATCGCCGTTTTCAGTAATTAGCATATTTTCGGTATAAAAGATCGTAATTTGAAAATGAAAATAGGTGCAGAGAGTCAGAATTCGGCTCAAAAATCCCGCTCAGGAGTCAAATTTCCGATATATCAAATATTTTGATAACTGCAGGGGGGGGGGGGGGCAAAATATGACCCATCGCCGTTTTCAGTAATTGGATGCAACCCCCAACAGTTGCCTAACTCCGGGGTACCTATTGACTGCCTCTCAAATTTTTTTTTAAATTTTGCCCCGAGGGGCGAGTTTATTGGGCAGCGCCACTCATCTTGTGAGTGACCTCTCAAGTCTCCGAAATTTAGTTATTGTTCCTGGGATATTGCTGCCTTCAGGCTGCTCAAAGGCAGTCCAAGTTGGTAATCAATTCCCTCTTTACGAGCAAAAGTCTTGGCTAGCTCATCAGTTCTATCATGCATTCGGAGACCAATATGGGAAGGAATCCACAGGAGACAAACTCTGACTCAATTCAAGTTCAAGTATGTTTATTGAGACAAGAAAAAATACATCTCAAAGGGATAGAGTAGCTTAGGCTATTTCTACCCCCCTCTACTTCAAGTCCCTCAAGGGGCGCACAAATTCAGTGAGTACAGATACACAAATCACAATACAACATTTAACATTGCATATTAATATAGTAAGTGTTACAATCATTGGGGCAAAATTCTTGTAGTTCCTAAGTATTCTGTCTATCATATCATTATCACACATCCAAACAATTTGAAGTGGTACACTACTTATTTCCTTATTTCTATGGTTATCCATAATTTGACACTTTAATACATAATGGTCTTCCAAGTTCAAGTAGGTTTATTGAGACAAGTTAAAAAAAAAAAAAAAAAAAAAAAAAAAAAAAAAAAAAAAAGATTTGCTTAGGCTATTTCTACCCCTTCCCATATTTCAAGTCCCTCAAGGGGCGCACAAATTCAGTGAGTACAAATACAAGAATCCCATGTAACATATCAGGTTAATATAGTACTATCTAAGAGTATAATAGTGTACATCCACCGCACTAGATTTTAACCCATTAACGCTCCAAGATAATATTCTCACTCTACTTTCATCCATGATTTAATAAAACTACCTTTGCCCTGTCTGTCACATTCCATGAGATACGAGATTTTCTCAGACAGACTCTCCCAACACTGTAACATTTTTGCTTTCTCCTCATTTGCACAACAGCTACTAGCATCAAAGGTGATCTTATTCATATCTAATTCTCCTTCATTGACTATTAGATGAAGGGAAACGTGCCCAACCATTTCTGTTATCAAGGTTACAAACATGACATTGTGTGATCTCGTACTGGTCCTGTGGCCATTGGCTTCGAATATGCGGCTCAATTATTTATGATATATGTTGCATTAACACTAACTCTAATATGATTAGTTTAGTTCATTTATTATACGTCCCATACCCAGCCCTTGGGCGTTAGTGGTTTTGGGCTCAGAGTTTCAATCCCAAAATTCACTTAGCTAAGCAAGTTAGTCTTGATGAGCTAATTACAAAATTTAATTTATATTGTTACATCAACAAAAATCGTTTTTGAAAACCCATTTATATTATCGTGTGTAAAATAATATGGCAAAGTCTTTCGTGTTATAGTGATATTTGATATAAGTTGATAAATTTCTTTAATATTGCTTACTAAATTTAATATTATAAAATTCAAAATAATTTGTATCAGTGTTATTTAAAATTATATTACAAACTAAAAAGAAAATAAATGCAAATAATGTAATACTTTATTATGTAATCCGGAGTTATCGGGAGCAGTGGCTTGACGCTTTCCCTTGATAGTTCCTTTCCCTTTACAAGAAATTGCACTTGTCAAAATGACGGAGTTCGAGTGGCCGTGGCAGCATAGCTTTCCTCCCTTTTTCACGTACGTGGCTGTCCACTCACCATTCTGGCTCTGATATACAGTACAAAGATAACTTACACTCAGTTGATAAGTGATCAGTAACTACACACTGAGACACTCGTCACAGTATTATCATGTGTCGTGTGGATTTCTTGAGTGTTTCATAAATCTTTTTAAATTGAAGTAATTACCTAAGTGTAGTTACAGGCTGAGAGCTACTCTCATGATGTCCTGTCTTCCCAGCACTGTAACTTTGGAAATATTAATTGTGAGGCCCAGAGCACAATTGATGTCTTAGGCGGGAATATTCGACCAGTATGTCCAACACCATTTAATTCCTTTTAGTGTAAATGCCTGGGCCATATTTTCATGGTCCAAACGTTCATTTCTTTCCATTGTGACTGTCCGGTCAATATGGCTTGACAGAAGGACAGTACAGTATTGCACTCCTTAAATGTAGGTCACATAGAACAGTACCTCCCAAACATTTTTAGCCTAATGCAGGAGTAATTGAAAAGATCCCTTTGATGCTAATGCATAGAATGCTGTCCTGCCTGACTGGAATCATGTCTATTTATACAGCAAATATTCACCTTTGGAAGCACTCAAGTGATTCTGTGCAGAAAGGTGCTGTTCTTATTTACTCGAAGCCTTATTTTTTTTAGACTGCAGCCTAATGCAGATGTGCGACGGACGCAGCTTGACGCCTGGTGTTCTCTGGTTGTGAACTGGGGAAGAAGCAACAAAGTTAGCCAAATAGATGTCACAGAAGCATCCAGTTTACCTGTTTTTAAGTAAGTTTTTTAAGTTCAATATATTTAGCATTTTCTAGTGTTTATGCATGCAGTATTACATTCTGAGTCATTCTTATCCCTTATAATTGTTGTATATATTTTTTGTTCATTTATCTTGCCTTGCCTGGTCTTTATTTCTTCAAATCAGATAAAGCTTAACTTAATTTTTTAGTGCACACATGACAAAAGACTTTTATTGATATTTAAAGTCCAAATTAAACCACACGGTCATGTTTGGACATTCCTGGTAAGAATTCTGCTTATTCAGTCAAGGGTCCTTCCATATAATCCAGATAAGCAAATTTAGACAGTATTTTTGCTGGACGGTTTGCACTTTTTTGTTAGGAGGGTAACTCGTAATATGGTTCTAATCACATTTTTAATTATTTTTGTGTATGGGTGCAACATTACAATAAATAGCAAGGAGTCTTGGAAGAGTCATTGAGCATACTTAAAACTAAACTCTATATTTCATTTTAATTTTGAGATTCCCCTGTTTTCGTACACAAATATGGGTTAATTTTCCTTTTGTAAATGAGGTTTCAAGGGGAAATATCCTAGATGGGAAAAATATCTAGGGTATGGGAAATATACTAGATGTAGATAAATCTCCTTAGAGACAGGTTCTCTTGGTACTTGTGTATCTTTTGCTCAGTGAAATCGGTGCAAAGTGTGGGAAATATTAGGGGGTGAATGGTAACACACTTAATATGGGGGCCGGGGCTGTTGATCCCCAGAACCTATTCAAGGTAGACACAAGATAGGCTTGTATCGAGGGATTCCCAAAGTCAAACCACTGACTTTTCCTAGAATGCAATGCTACAATAGTTGCCTGATTCCCAGGTACCTATTTGCTGCTAGATGAACAGTGGGATTAGGTAAAAGGAAACTTGTGCAACCATTTCCATTCTGCAGAGAAACTGAATCTGGGATTCCTTATTGTGAGCTAGCATGAAGATAACTGTATGAAACCTGAGCATGAGATGCCTCTCACCTGCTCTAACTTTCATTATTTCACCATAACATGAAATATTGGAGAACTAAAATGTTTAGTAATGCAAGAACTGATTAAAATAAATAGGGAAGATTTATATGTTTAGCAATGTTTGTTTGTTTAACATTCCCTCACCTACAGTCTTATGTAGCCTCTTCTTCAGTTAATTAACCCACCATTTAGTTTTCCAGCTATTGGATGATACCAATCACCTCAGAAAATTTAAATCACGATGTAATATGTACTTCCTGCTTGAATGAAATAACAAGGAATCTTTCTTTTCTATCTCAACTTCCATTGCCTCTGGCATCACTACAGGCTCTATCATTTTTGAGAACACTACAGTAATTTTGTTTTTAACTGGATACTGCACAACATGCATTAATTTTAACATATTACTGCATATCAAAACCATATACTACAGCTGTAGAATTAAAATCTCTACCTGCATGGGGCTATACCCTACTCATTACATCTGTCTCTGCTAAACTTGGTGGTATTAAAATGTCAGTAACTTGTTAAATTATATTTGGGAGGGTATCAGGTGATGAGTGTAAATAAGGTTCCAGTTACTGATCTCAAATTCAGCTGTTAGAACTGTCTGGCTGGTAAATCACAGGTCCCGTAAATTGGTTGAATACTAAAAAAAATAGACGTTTGCTTACCTTTGGGGGTTAAGTTCCACTTCTCTTTTGACCCTTGAGTGATTAAATGCAGTCTCTGTGCTTTAAAGAATTTGCCATAAAATACTTCAACAGGCCACTCTCAAGCTTAATCAACCCTCTCTTCATAAATGGTTAATATATTTATTTTCTCTACTACTTCAACCTGACTAATGGTGCTGTCAGACATTTCTCCTGTAACGGTTCTATTGTTACGTAAAGTATGGTGACAAATAAACACAGACACTAAGATACTATATATATATTTGGTCGAATATACAGAAGTACACCGGTGATACTTTGGTGTGAGTTGAGCGCACTGAGCGTCAGTACAGTATCTCGCAAGTGTCTGCTCTAGACCACACTTGAAAGTAGACTAGTTAATGTTTGCTATTCTTGCCGCTTATATTGCTCGGGCAACACCTCACCGTGCTGCCCGGGCAACGCCTCACCTCATTCATCTCCAAAGGTTGACATGAATATTAACACTATATTTGGAGCGAGTATATTATTGGGATAATCTACTCGCTACACTCCTACTCATTGATATTCCAGTTCAGTGAAACAAATGCAGGAATTCTTTAAGTGTCCATAGCATTGCAATACCACAAGGGAAAACATGGAGAAGCATAAACAAAGAGTCCAGTATGTATATATTTTTAGAAAAAAAGTAAAGCTAAATGTACCATGCACAGTGGTGTAATATATTTCAAACACTATTGAATTATATACAGTATTAGTATTTTTAATATACTGTATACTGTACTCAAATAATGTGTAAAATATGTATTTTTAATGCATTTGGCCACATTACAGTATTTTGTAGACACTAATCTTAAGTTCCTGTCCAAAAACATACCTGCCAGTTTAGCCTGTAAATTTGCAAAAATGTCTGACGTAACCAATGGTGCCCATATTTTGCATCAGAACGAAAAGCTTACAGATCGTCCAGAATTCTAATGGATTGAGTTCTGTTCTGAGAGGAGGTACTGCACACAGTATTTACTATTTACAGGATGCACTGTATAAATACCTATAGTATTATATAATACTCAAGATATGACAAGTTTTGTAGAAATTTTTTAATTTGTAGTGAATTTTGACAATTCTAGTGAAATGTGTTATATTGGTAGGGGTTTAGATTTGGATGAATATCAGCTATCACTGTGTAGCAAGACTGTTTTGGAAGGTTAGTGATGGAATGTTTTGGAGTTTGAGAATGATGATATTGGATCAATGGGGAGGTTAGCAGAAGTTTCAGCATCAGTTTCCTGAAGTGTACGGCTGAAATCAGGTTCATCAATATTTTATGCAACCTATCTAACTTAAAATATTGATGTATAGAAAACATTGATATTTGTGAGCTGCTACTTTTCACAGTACAGTACTTTATAATTTTTATGTTGGGGACCATAACATAAAACATGAGATGTATTAGTTGATGAGACAGGTTGATCTACTATATCATCTAATATGTGTTACGGATGATAACTGAGATCTACCTCCTATTGCATAGAAGTCCTACAGGGGTGAGGATTTGAAGCCCTGCCACTTTTCTCATCATCATTCATACTCACACTAAAGGTTGTGCACACTTATACTAGTGCCTACTCTTGGCCAGAAGATGGGCTTCATAAACCACAGATTAACAATGAAAGCAAGACTCTTAGGATAAGGCAGCAGTCTTTGTTTGAGAGATGGTGTGGGGGTGAGGTGTACAAAGTTTAATTATTCCCATGACCATATAAAAAAGCACTGGGATTGTTCCTCAGAATGTGAACTTTAAGGTTAGGGTACTATCTGTGGTTACATGTAAGATTTTTATTATTTTTTGCCCTGGATTAGTCTTTCATTAATGTTACTAGCCATCTTATTATCTTCAGTGACAGAGAGCACTATTTATTCCTTAGCTTTTAACTTGAAAATAATTCTTAGTTTTGAAGTTAAAACACCGAATCATATTTTGCCTTATTGCATGTGTTGTTGTAGTATTGAGTCAAAGTCGGCTTTTAAGTGAATATTTTCATTTTTTAGGAACCCTAGTATCAACCGCTCCTTACCAGCAGATAGCATAATGGTTGTCTTGGAAGAGCTGGCCAAACGTGGGAATCTTGAATGGACAGACAAAACCAGACGAAGGTGAGGATTCAAGTTAAATTTTAATTCAAAACAGCTTCTATAGTAGAAAAACTTTCAATGCATACATTATAAAAGTTGTTGCTCTGCTTCATATATCTTTACCAAAGCAACATCTGAACTGCATATATTGCATTTTGACAATGCAAGCCTTACCAACACTGAAAATTTTTTGTAGATAGTATTCAGGTCCTATGGTACAGCATTTCAATTTGTTTGAAAATAAGTGTAGACTTTATTGATACACTATTTATTACCCTCAGTAAACTGCACCTATTCCATTTTCATAGGGTAAAGACATCCAAGAATGGTAAAGTACATTAAATAATACGGTGATATTATTGTGTTCAGTTTTTTTGCAAGTTTATAAGTAGGCATAGGGATCTGTAAAAATTATAGCCCTAAGTGGGTAGCCAGGCTTATGTGCCTGGTCCAGAATTGCCTATTACTCGTTAAAATTTTAGGCCTCCAATCTCGGCATTTGCTGCATCTATGAGGGCATTAACATGTTTTTTGAGGTTCTTAGTTGGGTTTCTTGTAATAAATTTAAACTGATGTGTCTTGTAGAATAGTTCTAACTTTCTCAAATTTTGTTATTTTAGTTATGGAAGCTACGTGCATTGTATGCTAAACTTACATGCAGTACTTAAAATAAGGAAGCATTAAAGTTGTTCCATTTGCACTGTCTTTTTCTCTTGTTCCTCAGAGGGTTCCTGTTTTGGCGAAGTCCAACTGAATGGGGCCAGCTAATTTATAAATGGGCTCAGTCTACCAGTCACATCAACAGTGTTTGTACTCTTTATGAGATCAGCCAAGGTGATGATACTGCTGATGAAGGTAAATATTCTGTTTTGATTTAGTAATGTGTAGGCTGGGAAGAAATAAACAATCGAGTTTGTATATTCTTACAAGAAAATTGATTTAGAAGATTATGCCACAAACGGGTTGAGTGAAGACATTCGAAGTCAAAAAATAAATCAGAAGACTCAAAAATACTGCAAGATGGTTTAGTCTTAAAAAATGGACGAAAGACTGACAGATGTAGTTTAATGCTGACAAATTTCTAGGGCTTCTAAATCTTAGGTAATGTTAAGATAGTATAGTAGGAATTGTAAATCAGCTTAACGTTGAAATTGCAAATTACAAATTTACATTAAGGTATTCATGTTAAAAAAAAGGCAAATAGGATAAAAGCACTATCTTGCCCTTGTTTCAGGCATTCAGGCATAAGTGTGTATATCAAGGAGGCCACAAGAATAAGGGAAGGGGATGTTCCGTCAGTACTGGATCTAATATTCACCAGAAAAGACGAAGAGATATTTGTCATCTAGTACCTTCCTCCCTTGGGAAAGAGTGATCATGTCTGTTGGACATTAAATATGCCTTGTGATATAATCTAGAAGAGAATGGGGGACATTAATAAACGTGTAAGGGAAAGGGGGAGTATGTATATATTGTCCAAAATCAACAATAAGAAGTTGATAAACTCAATTTCAAGAGAGGACTTCACGGGGAACTTAGAAAATTCTTAAATAAGTGTAATTGGACAGACTTGTTGCTAGGCAAGGAAGTAAATGATATGTATGCCAAATTTTGCAAAATATACGATGAAGGCACACAAACATTCATACAAAACAGAGATGCAGAACCAGAAAACAGGATTGGTTCAACAGAAATTGTGAGAGGGCCAGAGAGGAAAAGACAAGAAAAATGGGTTCAATATTGGAAGAGGCCAAACCCATAAACATACCAGCACTACAAGCAAGCAAGAAACAATTTCACAACAGTGAGGAGAGAGGCAGAAAGGAACTTTGAGAAAGGTATAGCAGACAATTGTAAAACTGACCCCAGGCCTTTTCTATAAATTAATGAAAAGCAAGCTGCATGTAAAGGATAAAATCCAGAGATTGAGAATGAAAAATAAATGTGTGAAATGGTAAATGAACAGTTCCAAAGTGTATTTGTACAAAATGAGGATTTCATAGAACCGGATCTAATACCAATTCCAGAACATGCCATAGAATACCTAGCGGTATCTTAAGACGAAGTGGAAAAATTACTCATGGGGCTGGGAAAAAATAAAGCGGTTGGACCTGATGGAGTTTCACCGTGGGTGCTGCGAGAATGTGCAGCTGAACTGAGCATTCCGATTTAATTAATAAATATTCCAAACATCTTTGTGCACAGGAATCTTAGCAAATATATAGAAAAGGCAAACATAGTACCAATCTATAAAAATGGTAGTCTAGAGGAACCTCTAAATTATAGACCCGTATCATTAACAAGCATGGTAGTAAAAACACTAGAAAAAATAGTTAAAGCCAAATGGGTTGAACACCTAGAGAGTAATGACATAACGAACAGACAGTATGGTTTTCGAGCAGGAAGATCCTGTGTAACAAATCTACTTAGTTTTTATGAGAGAGTCACAGAGATACTACAGGAAAGAGGTGGTTGGGTTGACTGTTTATCAAAAGCTTGTGTTTTAGGTCTAGATACAGTCCCACACAAGAAGCTGTTTTGGAAACTAAAACATGCTGGAGGAGTGACAGGGAAACTTCTGACATGGATGAAATACTTTCTATCTGACAGACAGATGAGGGCAGTAATCAGAGACAATGTATCTGACTGGTGGAGTGTTACTAGAGGAGTACCACAGTGTTCAGTTCTTGCACCAGTAAAGTTCATAGTTTACAGAAACAATCTATCAGAAGGAATACAGAACAGTTATATGAACATGTTTGTGAATGATGCTAAGATACTGGGGAAGATAAGAGATGCAGACATTCGAATGCCCTTCAAATTGAACAAGTTAAAATAAGTGCTTGGTGAGTCAAGTGGCAAAGGGAATTCAATGTGAATAAATGCCATGTTATGGAATGTGGATTCGGAGAAAATAGACCACACACAACTTACAAATTATATGGAAAGGAATTACAAAACTAATAAAGAACAAGACCTAGGGGTGGTTTTGAATAGTAAGCTGTCACCAGAAAAACACAAAGAACATTGTGAAAGGAGCGTATGCATTGCTTTTCAAACTTCAGACTTCTTTTTATTTATATGGATGGTGAAATACTGAAGAAACTATTCATGACTTTTGTGAGACCAAACTTGGAATTTGCAGTAGTTGTATGGTGCCTATGTCTCAAAAGGACATCGATAGACTGGAAAAGATGCAAAGGCATGCTACAAAATGGCTTCCAGAACAACTGTAATCAATTTATGAAGAGAAGCTAGAGAAGTTAAATATGGCAAAGCTAGAAGATAGAAGAAAAAGAGGTGATGTGCTAGATTCAAGCTAAGGAAACAAAGGTGCCAAAAAAATATTTGAAAGTTTTCTTTTGCAAACAGAGTGGTAGACTATTAGAATAAGTTAAGTGAGAAAGTGGCGGAGGCCAAAACCGTCGGTAGTTTCAAATCGTTATATGACAGAGTGGTGGGAAGATGGGACACCACGAGCGTAGCTCTCATCCTGTAATATATTATTATTGTATTAGATAATTAATTACCTAATTACACTTAGGTAATTATTAGGACAAAGCACTAAACCATTACAGCTATATAGCACTTAAAAGGGATGTGAGGATAAGGATTTAGGTTAGGATGGTGAAGGAATGGTGTCTAACCACTTGTATAGTCGGGGATTGAACGCCAACTCACAAGAAGTGAGGCTGTCGCTCTACTGTCTAGTGCAAGTGGTTGAGATAGAATGAATACTGTATATGAGAGGGTATAAATAAAATTTGCCTTGCATGGACCAATAGCATTTCTGCTGTTTGATTTAAACTTGTGTTCTTATATTTTATTGAACTATGAAAATCTATAAATTCTAATTACAGTATACTGTACATTGAATATCTCATTATCTACAAGGTTCTTTCAGTATAATACTCAAATGTCTGTAACTATGCCATAACCTAGGATGGTTTTCTTAATGGACCCCTAATTAATATTTTGTTGTTAAAATCAACTAGATTCATAATGGATTTGCTGTTTTGATACATTGTCTCCCAGAGTCTGTCTCTCGAGATGAGACAATGTAAACGGCCAATAACTGGGGGGGGGGCACCTCCTGGTGATGCTCCAAAGGCCATGTTTACAATGAAGACAATACAACACATGCACACATCCTAACTAAATAATACACATGCATTGGCATTGGCCAATAGGCATGCTACAGATTTTTTACATAGCTCGAATAATCTATCCAGTTCTAGTACCTGGCTCAAGGCAAATTCCAGTTGGGGGGGGGGGGGTCCCAGTAGTACAGTCAAGTTCATTCTCGAGTCGCAAATCGGAAATTCTAGGTTTGAATTCCAGGCATTGCAGAAATGGTTTGGTTAAGTTTCCTATCACTTAATATCCAGTTCACCTACCAGTAAATAGGTACCCAGGAGTTGCATCCTGGGGAAAGAGGCAGGGGGATCAGTAGTTTGACCTAGGGGAAACCTTGATATAAGCCCAACATGTATATATACACTGGCTGAATGTCCCCAGACAATGAATTGATTTTTATAATGGGTTCCATGCAATTGTTCCATATATGAAGAAATGTTATTTACACAACTCAAACATGATGATTTAGCTAACCTGGAAAAGCTTTCCTTATAATGTTTAAGGTATCCTTCTCAAAATCCTTCACGTCTCTGAAATCTAATTGAACATAATGTGGGATAAACCATTACATATATTTTGACCATTACAAAATCATTTAATTCATTTTCAGAATTTCATAAATTGGATGGTGATGTCCTCCTCAAAGCTCTTAAGACGTTAGAAGTATCTGGACTAGCCGAGCTGATCGATTTTGATGACAACAAAGGAGTAAAGTTCCTTTGAAATCAGTTTATGAGTAAGTCATATATGGTAGTTATTATTTTCTTTATTTACAAAATAGAAATATCTATGCTTGTATATCTTTATCAAATAAGAAAGATTCTTTGTACTGAGTAATGTACAAATAATGTATTTGTACTTAATATATTTTTTTCATCTAATGACTTTAATCATAGCCCAAAATTTATATACAGTAATTAGTGTATGCAGGCAGCAACTCATTTTACTTTATGCTGCACAGGGCAGTGCCATACCTTACATGACCAAGATAATGTTTTATAAACCAGTAGTAGTTTAGGATTTGTAACATTGCTCAACAAAATGATAAATGCTTTCCTAGAAGCATCTCTTCATCTGATTTTTATATCTGGCTATCAGAATAGGTATGCCATACTATGTTGACTATTTTTTCTCATTTTATTGTTCGTTATTCATTTGCCACAAGCAACCGGTTTGGTGCCTCCTTTTGATAATTACTCACTTGCCACAAGCAATTGCATTTAGTTGCTACTTGGAAAAACAATGAGGTTGATTAAACAAATTAAGTTAAAGATAATGCATTAAACATAAGTGCAACTTTAATCAGTATTATATTGGTCATTGCTCAAGAGCCAAAATAAGATTGATTACAATATGTTAAGATTTAGTGTTTAAATAAACATTAAACAAGTAAAGTATTTATTTAACCATTTAATTTGTTTGTTTTTAATTAGAATTCTGGGCAAAATTTCAAATTCTTACATTCCTCAAGAATGTTAATGGAGAACTGCTACGAGTCTCCACGATGGTCTTTTTGGAAAACATTACTGTACTGCCTTTCAAAAATATGTGTACATTCTGTAGGATGTGGAACACCTTCAAAAAGGATGTGTGACTACACATGTAAATACAAGAGTAGACAACTTATGATCACAGTTAGCAGGTTTACAGCTTTACATTTTCATATCTCATGTCAAGTCTTACTTCCAGTTACTGTTGGGTGAACAGTTATGGATCGGTGCCTAATCATCCTATGCCGAGATTGGCGAGGCTGAGAAAACTTGACAAGGGAAGGCTAGTGGGTTTTCTTGTATAATTTACTTGCAGTGACAATATCCCAGCCTTTCTGTCTACATAAACTGTAGTTCCCAATGGGGTCACTCAATTCAAGCAGAAATACTGGTACAGTATAGATGTATAGGTGTCATATTTTATGGCAGTTTTGATTCCTTTAATCTGCTTTTTAGCTCCCCATTCCCTCCCCCACCTGTAGGAACCCAGCACAAGCAGAGCCATTTTAATTTGGCAGATAACCTGCAAAGACGTTCTTGTGCTTTCTGAACCAGTGTGATATGGTTGAAATAGACTGATCAGTACTATTGTACATCGAGTGTGTGAAGAAGACACATTTAAATTTAGAGCATTGAATTATAATAATTAAGGCTTGTAAAATACACTGAATAACTACAGGGACCTGAAGATATATTACATATGACCTGGACAAACTGCAGGACCCCCCTGCAGTTTTCAAAATATCTGAAATGTCGGAAATTTGACTCCTGAGCGTGATTTTTGAGCCGAATTCTGACTCTCTGCACCTATTTTCATTTTCAAATTACGACTTTTTATACCGAAAATATGCCAATTACTGAAAACGGCGATGGGTCATATTTTGCCCAAACCCCCCTGCAGTTTTCAAAATATCTGAAATGTCGGAAATTTGACTCCTGAGCGTGATTTTTGAGCCGAATTCTGACTCTCTGCACCTATTTTCATTTTCAAATTACGACTTTTTATACCGAAAATATGCCAATTACGGAAAACGGCGATGGGTCATATTTTGCCCAAACCCCCCTGCAGTTTTCAAAATATCTGAAATGTCCGAAATTTGACTCCTGAGCGTGATTTTTGAGCCGAATTCTGACTCTCTGCACCTATTTTCATTTTCAAATTACGACTTTTTATACCGAAAATATGCCAATTACTGAAAACGGCGATGGGTCATATTTTGCCCAAACCCCCCTGCAGTTTTCAAAATATCTGAAATGTCGGAAATTTGACTCCTGAGCGTGATTTTTGAGCCGAATTCTGACTCTGCACCTATTTTCATTTTCAAATTACGACTTTTTATACCGAAAATATGCCAATTACTGAAAACGGCGATGGGTCATATTTTGCCCAAACCCCCCTGCAGTTTTCAAAATATCTGAAATGTCGGAAATTTGACTCCTGAGCGTGATTTTTGAGCCGAATTCTGACTCTCTGCACCTATTTTCATTTTCAAATTACGACTTTTTATACCGAAAATATGCCAATTACTGAAAACGGCGATGGGTCATATTTTGCCCAAACCCCCCTGCAGTTTTCAAAATATCTGAAATGTCGGAAATTTGACTCCTGAGCGTGATTTTTGAGCCGAATTCTGACTCTCTGCACCTATTTTCATTTTCAAATTACGACTTTTTATACCGAAAATATGCCAATTACTGAAAACGGCGATGGGTCATATTTTGCCCAAACCCCCCTGCAGTTTTCAAAATATCTGAAATGTCGGAAATTTGACTCCTGAGCGTGATTTTTGAGCCGAATTCTGACTCTCTGCACCTATTTTCATTTTCAAATTACGACTTTTTATACCGAAAATATGCCAATTACTGAAAACGGCGATGGGTCATATTTTGACCAAACCCCTCCCCTGCAGTTTTCAAAATATCTGAAATGTCGGAAATTTGACTCCTGAGCGTGATTTTTGAGCCGAATTCTGACTCTCTGCACCTATTTTCATTTTCAAATTACGACTTTTTATACCGAAAATATGCCAATTACTGAAAACGGCAATGGGTCATATTTTGCCCAAACCCCCCTGCAGTTTTCAAAATATCTGAAATGTCGAAAATTTGACTCCTGAGCGTGATTTTTGAGCCGAATTCTGACTCTCTGCACCTATTTTCATTTTCAAATTACGACTTTTTATACCGAAAATATGCCAATTACTGAAAACGGCGATGGGTCATATTTTGCCCAAACCCCCCTGCAGTTTTCAAAATATCTGAAATGTCGGAAATTTGACTCCTGAGCGTGATTTTTGAGCCGAATTCTGACTCTGCACCTATTTTCATTTTCAAATTACGACTTTTTATACCGAAAATATGCCAATTACTGAAAACGGCGATGGGTCATATTTTGCCCAAACCCCCCTGCAGTTTTCAAAATATCTGAAATGTCGGAAACTTGACACCTGAGCGTGATTTTTGAGCCGAATTCTGACTGTCTGCACCTATTTTCATTTTCAAATTACGACTTTCTATACCGATAATATGCTAATTACTGAAAACGGCGATGGGTCATATTTTGCCCAAACCCCCCTGCAGTTTTCAAAATATCTGAAATGTCGGAAATTTGACTCCTGAGCGTGATTTTTGAGCCGAATTCTGACTCTCTGCACCTATTTTCATTTTCAAATTACGACTTTTTATACCGAAAATATGCCAATTACTGAAAACGGCGATGGGTCATATTTTGCCCAAACCCCCCTGCAGTTTTCAAAATATCTGAAATGTCGGAAATTTGACTCCTGAGCGTGATTTTTGAGCCGAATTCTGACTCTCTGCACCTATTTTCATTTTCAAATTACGACTTTTTATACCGAAAATATGCCAATTACTGAAAACGGCGATGGGTCATATTTTGCCCAAACCCCCCTGCAGTTTTCAAAATATCTGAAATGTCGGAAATTTGACTCCTGAGCGTGATTTTTGAGCCGAATTCTGACTCTCTGCACCTATTTTCATTTTCAAATTACGACTTTTTATACCGAAAATATGCCAATTACTGAAAACGGCGATGGGTCATATTTTGCCCAAACCCCCCTGCAGTTTTCAAAATATCTGAAATGTCGGAAATTTGACTCCTGAGCGTGATTTTTGAGCCGAATTCTGACTCTCTGCACCTATTTTCATTTTCAAATTACGACTTTTTATACCGAAAATATGCCAATTACTGAAAACGGCGATGGGTCATATTTTGCCCAAACCCCCCTGCAGTTTTCAAAATATCTGAAATGTCGGAAATTTGACTCCTGAGCGTGATTTTTGAGCCGAATTCTGACTCTCTGCACCTATTTTCATTTTCAAATTACGACTTTTTATACCGAAAATATGCCAATTACTGAAAACGGCGATGGGTCATATTTTGCCCAAACCCCCCTGCAGTTTTCAAAATATCTGAAATGTCGGAAATTTGACTCCTGAGCGTGATTTTTGAGCCGAATTCTGACTCTCTGCACCTATTTTCATTTTCAAATTACGACTTTTTATACCGAAAATATGCCAATTACTGAAAACGGCGATGGGTCATATTTTGCCCAAACCCCCCTGCAGTTTTCAAAATATCTGAAATGTCGGAAATTTGACTCCTGAGCGTGATTTTTGAGCCGAATTCTGACTCTCTGCACCTATTTTCATTTTCAAATTACGACTTTTTATACCGAAAATATGCCAATTACTGAAAACGGCGATGGGTCATATTTTGCCCAAACCCCCCTGCAGTTTTCAAAATATCTGAAATGTCGGAAATTTGACTCCTGAGCGTGATTTTTGAGCCGAATTCTGACTCTCTGCACCTATTTTCATTTTCAAATTACGACTTTTTATACCGAAAATATGCCAATTACTGAAAACGGCGATGGGTCATATTTTGCCCAAACCCCCCTGCAGTTTTCAAAATATCTGAAATGTCGGAAATTTGACTCCTGAGCGTGATTTTTGAGCCGAATTCTGACTCTCTGCACCTATTTTCATTTTCAAATTACGACTTTTTATACCGAAAATATGCCAATTACTGAAAACGGCGATGGGTCATATTTTGCCCAAACCCCCCTGCAGTTTTCAAAATATCTGAAATGTCGGAAATTTGACTCCTGAGCGTGATTTTTGAGCCGAATTCTGACTCTCTGCACCTATTTTCATTTTCAAATTACGACTTTTTATACCGAAAATATGCCAATTACTGAAAACGGCGATGGGTCATATTTTGCCCAAACCCCCCTGCAGTTTTCAAAATATCTGAAATGTCGGAAATTTGACTCCTGAGCGTGATTTTTGAGCCGAATTCTGACTCTCTGCACCTATTTTCATTTTCAAATTACGACTTTTTATACCGAAAATATGCCAATTACTGAAAACGGCGATGGGTCATATTTTGCCCAAACCCCCCTGCAGTTTTCAAAATATCTGAAATGTCGGAAATTTGACTCCTGAGCGTGATTTTTGAGCCGAATTCTGACTCTCTGCACCTATTTTCATTTTCAAATTACGACTTTTTATACCGAAAATATGCCAATTACTGAAAACGGCGATGGGTCATATTTTGCCCAAACCCCCCTGCAGTTTTCAAAATATCTGAAATGTCGGAAATTTGACTCCTGAGCGTGATTTTTGAGCCGAATTCTGACTCTCTGCACCTATTTTCATTTTCAAATTACGACTTTTTATACCGAAAATATGCCAATTACTGAAAACGGCGATGGGTCATATTTTGCCCAAACCCCCCTGCAGTTTTCAAAATATCTGAAATGTCGGAAATTTGACTCCTGAGCGTGATTTTTGAGCCGAATTCTGACTCTCTGCACCTATTTTCATTTTCAAATTACGACTTTTTATACCGAAAATATGCCAATTACTGAAAACGGCG